TTTATTGTTTCAAAAAACCGATCATCCTTTTTTTTTTCGTCTCTATATTTTTTTTTGGACAGATTCCCTTTTTGGGGGATAAGATGGTGAGGTCCATGTAATTTTATATCATTTTAAAGATAATGGGGGAAAATCTTTTAATGCTCTTAAAAAAACACACCCCCTTTTTTCTTCCCGGCTTTTAAGACAAAGTTAAGCTGCCCCCAGGGTTTTTCGTGCAGTGTGACCCTAAGACGGACCTAAATCACGTTGACCACCTGTGTCATTAGCCTTGTCTTTTTTTATCTTTATCGATTTAGGTTAACGACATTAGATGGGAAAGCAGCCTTTCTTCCCGTGGCTCCCACGTGGCTCTCTGATAGGGGACTCATGTGGCTCATAACCAGACGATCCGAGTTCGTTCCTGGGGCGGGGGAGCGTTTTCCCTAGCACTAAGTAGGTGCCTAGTTTTCTAGGAGATTGGCCCGGGATCATTCTTGGGAGCAAAAGAAGGGACCCCAGGAAACTCTGCACTTCACCCAAATTCACCCACTTTTCGCCGCACGCGCAAGGACTTCAGCAGGCCCCGGAATTCAGTCAAATCCCTTTAGGGGAAAATTACGCCCATTCGTGAAGGGCTCTTAATCCCGGAAAAAAGGAGTTGCCCTTTCCCTTTCCTTGGTCAAAACTAATGCTTACCGTTTCCCCCCCCGATACTGATGACCCTCTTGAGTTTAGCGCCCCCATAAATTACTACTACTAACGACTAAAATTTTAAAAAATAAAATAATAATAAAAATAATAATAATAATAATAATAATAAAAAATAAAATAATAAATCAAGAAATTTCAAAAAAACCCCGACGCTGAGATTAAGAACACAAAAACGCAGGACTGTACTGTAGATCAATTCCTTCAAGAGGCCCAGAGCCGGGAAATGAACCCCCGTCAAACTGTTAGAATATAAAAAAAACTATACCACGGGTGGGGATAGAACCCGCGACCAGAGAGTCGTAAAACTCCAGACCGACGCGTTAGCAATTTGTTAGCGTTTGTTTACAATCGTGTCATTACGATTTCGCGAGTCTCTTAGAATATACTATTCTAAGTAAACCACTAAGTTGAAACCAGGGTGGCTACACCCAAAGAGTTTTTTTAAAAACTAGTTCGGTGAGATGAGGCTGTTCAGGAGTTTAGGTCTCTTTTGTGTATCTCGGAAACCAGTTGACTGATTCTTATGAAATTAACGACAGTTGTTCTGTGCGATCAGATGTGCTAGAGCATAAGTTTATTTTTACGTATTGATCTCGAGTTTAGAACTCACTAGCCATGGGTTCAGTCCTCACCTATTTCGTGGCTTGTGTGCAATCGCGTTATTACGATTTTGTGAGTCAGGCTTATTTTTGCAAGTTGTGTACTAATAATACTGGCAAATCGGGAATTACAAAACCCATTAACAATGCGAATTTTCCTTTGTGCAAGATACGCGAGGGCTGAACGTTTGAAGCTGATCTGAAATAGAATCCTCCAGCTATCAACGCTTATCACATAGAAACTAATAATCGCCACTTTTTTAATTGTTAAAGAACTAGTAAATTTGTATCTACACATGATAAAACTGAAGAGAACCTTCTTGATTAGATGCATTAAATTTTTAAGTCTGAAGCCGTTCAGAAGAGTCAACCTCAAGCTACTGCAGACTTGTAAAAAAATGCAATTTTTGTGTCTAAGGCATTATTTTGCCAGAAAATCCCCCTTTTCCATCATGATTTACCCCTTCAACGCATGTGTCACATACCTACTCTGTAACTGCTCTAATAGAAAATATATATATTGTTCTAGGAACAATTTAATCAGGGGTGCAGCTTACATTGCAAACCACTGATTTTACCTCAATTTTCTTTTTTAATAATAATAATTCACTAACCAGTTTCGAGAAAGAAACATGCAATGCCATATACAGTTTAAATCAGACAAGAATATTGTCATCACTAGACTAAATAAAGAAAAAAACGTAACCATTCTTGATGAGACTGTATAGGAAGAGTTGCGATAGTACTCGCAGATTAGAGTAAATCGAGGTAATAGCTGATTCATTTCAAAATATAATTAAAGTAAAGGATAAACTCAGCCTCTGTCTTTGCAAAATACATAAAAAAGTATCTGATCTCAGAAGATATGAAAGAATATGCAGTTCTGGTTCCTTCCCAAGTACTATGTGTGGACTCATGAAGACCACAGACAGGGAGTTAGAATTCGTCCTATAAACCAGAATTGTTTTTATTTAATTTTAGCGCTGTATGACCCATTTGGATTTAACACTTTTTTGTGAATATGTTGATGATGATGATGATGATGAATTGTTAAACTAGATGATGGTAAATGAAAGAATGGGGAAGGCGAGAGACACAACATCGAAGGGAAGAGTGATAGAAGAAAGTAAATAGCATGAGAAGAGAGGCATAAACGGTCGGGAAGGATGAGAAAAACAGGTAAATAGGGTAAAGAAGAAGTGTGAAAAATGAGAGGAAATAGATATTGTATATGACACAACAAATGGTCACTCGGGTTATATAATTCTATCGTCCTGACCTTCATACAACACAGTAAATAAGGTCAGTGCGAATATTTAGTTTTACTCTTATGTAAATATTTATCCTATGTAAGGTTGGCCATTAAAATATCTAATTGGTCAAAAGAGAGACATATATAGGCAAATCAAAAGAGGGGAGGGGCAATTAAGAAATCGATATATTCAGTTAAAGAGAGAAATAAAAAAAGGAATTAGAAAAGCAAAAAGAGATTATGAGGTTAAAGTTGCAAGAGATTCGAAGACTAACCCAAAAGGATTCTTTCAGGTATACAGAAGTAAGATCAGGGACAAGATAGGCCCACTCAAAAGTTCCTCGGGTCAGCTCACTGACAGTGATAAGGAAATGTGTAGAAGTTTTAACACATACTTCCTCTCAGTTTTTACACAGGAGGATACCAGCGATATTCCAGAAATGATAAAATTATGTGGAACAGGACGATAATAAACTGTGCACGATTAGAGTCACAAGTGACATGGTCCTTAGGCAAATAGATAAATTAAAACCTAACAAATCCCCAGGCCCTGATGAACTGTATGCAAGGGTTCTAAAGGAATGTAAAGAGGACCCTTTAGCAAACCTTTGGCTAATCTTTTCAACATATCACTACAAACTGGCATGGTGCCAGATAAGTGGAAAATGGCAAATGTGATACCTATTTTCAAAGCAGGTGACAGGTCCTTACTTCGAACTATAGACCAATAAGCCTAACCTCCATAGTGGGAAAATTATGGAATCAATAATTGCCGAGGCAGTTCGTAGCCACCTTGAAAAGCATAAATTAATCAACGAATCTCAGCATGGTTTTACAAAGGGGCGTTCCTGCCTTACGAAAATTATTAACTTTTTTCACTAAGGTATTTGAGGAGGTTGATCATGGTAATGAATATGATATTGTGTATATGGACTTCAGTAAGGCTTTTGACAAGGTCCCACATCAGAGACTATTGAGGAAAATTAAGCACATGGAATAGGAGGAGAAATTTTTTCCTGGATAGAGGCATGGTTGACAAATAGGCAGCAGAGAGTTTGCATAAATGGGGGGAAATCAGAGTGGGGAAGCGTCACGAGCGGTGTTCCACAGGGGTCAGTGTTGGGCCCCCTGCTGTTCACAATATACATAAACGACATAGATGAAGGGCATAAAGAGCGACATCAGCAAGTTTGCAGATGACACCAAAATAGGCCGTCCAATTCATTCTGACGAGGACATTAGAGCACTCCAGGAAGATTTGAATAGACTGATGCAGTGGTCGGAGAGGTGGCAGATGCAGTTTAATATAGACAAATGCAAAGTTCTAAATGTTGGACAGGACAATAACCATGCCACATATAAACTAAATAATGTAGATCTTAATATTACGGATTGCGAAAAAGATTTAGGAGTTCTGGTTAGCAGTAATCTGAAACCAAGACAACAGTGCATAAGTGTTCGCAATAAAGCTAATAGAATCCTTGGCTTCATATCAAGAAGCATAAATAATAGGAGTCCTCAGGTTGTTCTTCAACTCTATACATCCTTGGTTAGGCCTCATTTAGATTATGCTGCACAGTTTTGGTCACCGTATTACAGAATGGATATAAATGCTCTGGAAAATGTACAAAGGAGGATGACAAAGTTGATCCCATGTATCAGAAACCTTCCCTATGAGGATAGACTAAGGCCCTGAATCTGCACTCTCTAGAAAGACGTAGAATTAGGGGGGATATGATTGAGGTGTATAAATGGAAGACAGGAATAAATAAAGGGGATGTAAATAGTGTGCTGAAAATATCTAGCCTAGACAGGACTCGCAGCAATGGTTTTAAGTTGGAAAAATTCAGATTCAGGAAGGATGTAGGAAAGTACTGGTTTGGTAATAGAGTTGTGGATGAGTGGAACAAACTCCCAAGTACAGTTATAGAGGCCAGAACGTTGTGTAGCTTTAAAAATAGGTTGGATAAATACATGAGTGGATGTGGGTGGGTGTGAGTTAGACCTGATAGCTTGTGCTATCAGGTCGGTTGCCGTGTTCCTCCCTTAAGTCAAGGTGACCTGACCTGACTAGTTTGGGTGCATTGGCTTAAGCTGGTGGGAGACTTGGACCTGCCTCGCATGGGCCAGTAGGCCTGCTTCAGTGTTCCTTCGTTCTTATGTTCTTATGTTCTTATTACGAAAGAGGTACCTTTGGACATAATTACAGTAAGATATTGCAATGTTTCGATTCCTTCTGTGTTATTATCATGTAGTATGTTAGTCTAAGACAGGCTGCAACTTGCCTAACTTCCCATTTCCATTGTCACCTTAACACCTTAATTTACTCTCCTCATATCAATACTTTCTTCCCTGTTCTGAACACCTCTAGCACCATTTCTCATCTTTTCTCGACATCCCCAACCTGTCAGCAACGCTTTCTAACTAAAACCGCATTTTTTTCGTTGTTAGGGTCGCTGGTGATACTGAGTGGGAGATGCTGCGCTGATGGTGACCAAGAAAAGATCTGCAACCCTGGCTGGGTGAGTTGGCCTATTATCTTATGTGACACAGTTTCCAGGGTACTGAGGAAGAGGAAGAAATTGGCCTAGTTGGATATCATTGATTGGGACCATCACTTATGATAATGCTTTGGGTCTGTTTAATGACATGATACACAGCACCCGTACGCCGGAGGTTGCTCAGTAGACGAGGTCACTTCACAAAGAGAAGCTTCAGGTTAGAATTTCGTGTATTTAGATGGGAAGTACAGTGTCTACACTCTGAAGGAGGGGTGTTAATGTTGCAGTTTTATAACTGTAGTGTAAAGCACCCCTCTGGCAAGACAGTGATGGAGTGAATGATGATGAGAGTTTTTCTTTTTCGGGTCACCCTGCCTTGGTGGAAATCGGCCGATATGTGAATGTGATATATATATATATATATATATATATATATATATATTATATATATTATATATATATATATATATATATATATTATATAATATATATATATATATATATATATATATATATATATATACATACATATATATATATATATATATATATATATATAATATATATATATATATATATATATATATATTATATAATATATATATATTTGTATATATACATACATACATATATAATATATATATATATATATATATAATATTATATATATATATATATATATATATATATATATATAATATATATATATATATATATATATATATATATATATATATATATATATATATATATATATATAATATATATATATATATATGTGTGTGTGTGTGTGTGTGTGTGTGTGTGTGTGTTGTGTGTGTGCAAAAACAACCACTCTGAAAAAATAGAGAAATTCCAAGCGCTTTCGTGACTACTCACATTATCAAGGAACTATGAAAGTAAAGCATACAAGGAAGCTATATAAGGGGTCAGGCCAGCACCTCACTATCAGATCCCACAACGGTTAAACACCTGACGCGCGCCGACCCAACTTGGATAGGTCCTTTGCACAACTCACCAAACAAAGAATTCTACCCAAGAAAATTTAAAAATTATTTGTCCAGTGTATTATTAAATTCTTCCCAAATTCTATTAATTATAAATGGATCTAATTTATATAAACCAAAGGAAATATTCATATTATTGTCAAAACTGCTTTTTATGAAACAAGATTCAATTATATTCCTGTCGACCATGGACTTGCTTGATACTACTTTCTCAACTTTTTGAAAATCAATTGGATGGTTAAAATCTCTTACTTGAATAAATAGAGCATTGGAATCTTGTCCAGTTCTAATGCTATATTTATGTTGTTTTAATCTTAGTTCGAGATTTTTACCAGTTTGACCGTAATAAACTTTATCGCAAATTTTACAAGGAATCTTATAGACACATCCATCAGCATTTTGGGGGGAATTCTTTATCAAAAGTTTTTTTACTGTATCAAGATTTTTGAATACAACTTTAATATTAAAAGTCTTAAGAAGAGAAGGCATATCAACCAAGTTTTCATGGTAAGGGAGAACCAACATATTTTTAGTTGAATAAGGCTGGTTGTCCCTTTTTGGATTGTAAAAAGTATTTCTAGCAACTTTAAAAGATTTATCAATTACATTTCTTGGGTATTTTAAATCATTACCTATTTCATAAATTTTGGAAATAGGTAATGATTTAAAATACCCAAGAAATGTAATTGATAAATCTTTTAAAGTTGCTAGAAATACTTTTTACAATCCAAAAAGGGACAACCAGCCTTATTCAACTAAAAATATGTTGGTTCTCCCTTACCATGAAAACTTGGTTGATATGCCTTCTCTTCTTAAGACTTTTAATATTAAAGTTGTATTCAAAAATCTTGATACAGTAAAAAAACTTTTGATAAAGAATTCCCCCCAAAATGCTGATGGATGTGTCTATAAGATTCCTTGTAAAATTTGCGATAAAGTTTATTACGGCAAACTGGTAAAAATCTCGAACTAAGATTAAAACAACATAAATATAACATTAGAACTGGACAAGATTCCAATGCTCTATTTATTCATGTAAGAGATTTTAACCATCCAATTGATTTTCAAAAAGTTGAGAAAGTAGTATCAAGCAAGTCCATGGTCGACAGGAATATAATTGAATCCTGTTTCATAAAAAGCAGTTTTGACAATAATATGAATATTTCCTTTGGTTTATATAAATTAGATCCATTTATAATTAATAGAATTTGGGAAGAATTTAATAATACACTGGACAAATAATTTTTAAATTTTCTTGGGTAGAATAGTTTGTGGGGTGAGTTGTGCAAAGGACCTATCCAAGTTGGGTCGGCGCGCGTCAGGTGTTTAACCGTTGTGGGATCTGATAGTGAGGTGCTGGCTTGACCCCTTATATAGCTTCCTTGTATGCTTTACTTTCATAGTTCCTTGATAATGTGAGTAGTCACGAAAGCGCTTGGAATTTCTCTATTTTTTCAGAGCGGTTGTTTTGCATATATATATATATATATATATATATATATATATATATATATATATATATATATATATATAATATATATATATATATATATATATATATATATATATATATATATATATATATATATATTATATATCTATATATCTATATATCTATATATATATATATATATAATATATATATATATATATATATATATATATATATGTATATATATATATATATATATATATATATATATATATATATATATATATATGTATATATATATATATGTATGTATATATATATATATATATATATATATATATATATATATATATATATATATATATATATATATATATATATATATATATGTGTGTGTGTGTGTGTGTGTGTGTGTGTGTGTTAGTATGAGAAGAAAAACGTTTCAAAAGAAATATAAGCTTGTTGCCATGGGAGCAAAATACACAAAAGTATTTCTCGAGGGGAGTGTTTACAGACCGAGGGAAGACTGGTTTGTCAAGGACTCCGGAATACTTATTCTTAACTTCCACTCTAGTCTGTAAATTGTTGTTAGAATCAGGTAGATATTAATGATAAGAAGGTATATGTGGATTAATAAATTTGTCAAAAACATGTACAATTCTCAAAAATGAAAATAGTTAGAAAAATAGTTTGTTGAAGTGAAGGTCATGTTCCAGCAACGTATTCGGACACTTCATCGATTGCTTAGCAGAATGACTAGTCTTCTACAATATTCATTGGTCATGTTTATGATAAAAATGGCGATATCAAGTCTCTATAATACTGTAGTTGCTTGGAAAGGAGATCATTGGGATATGATAATTTTTAATTAAGAAGTCTTCATCATGAAGACCCAAGGGTGTGATGAATGGTTTGAGAAACCGACAAGTTCAGGATTGAGACACTTATGCAACATATGGGAATCTTTATTCAGGAAACGTTTCGCCACACAGTGGCTTCATCAGTCCAATACAAAGTAGAAAGGCGTAAGGAGAGGAGGAGTTCGATGTAATCACTCCCTCAGCCTGGAGTCGATGTGTTCAGTCTACAAGATTGATTGACTGAACACATCGACTCCAGGCTGAGGGACTGATTACCTCGAACTCCTCCTCTCCTTACGCCTTTCTACTTTGTATTGGACTGATGAAGCCACTGTGTGGCGAAACGTTTCCTGAATAAAGATTCCCATATGTTGCATAAGTGTCTCAATCTTCAAGACCCAAGGGTATAATTTTATAAGCCACTGAACGATTCTCTAACGACCGCTAACAAATTAAGTCGTGAATTCGTCTTCAAAATTTAACGTTTAAATGGTTTAATTTGAATATGTGAGTGAGTGTGGTGACAAAGAGACTGAGAGGTGAAGGTCGATATACGAATATGGTGCAATTATATTAATAAATCGATGGCTTGAACGATTACAATTTTCTGCTTAAATTGCGCAAACTTTAGATTGTCGAAGATTTGGGAAAGGTTTCGTGTATGTCTTGCCTCGTCACACTACACTTATGCCATTATAGCTAAAATTAGTTTTAGAGTTCCACTAAGCTCGACTGAAATTATCTCTGTGGCATTGATAGGCTTTTTTTTATACTGTAAGATTTGTGTTTATATGTATACTCATCTAGTTGTTGTTGCTGTGAGTTTCAGCTATAAACGTTAAGTCAGTTAACTGTATACGACATGTTTCGCAAATTTTCTACCTCGTGGGTCGTATTGTGCATATTCTTAAAGCTGTGCACGGTGTTTGCTTTCGCCTCTCCTTGTATTGTTCATTCTATTTTCACGCCTTCATAAGGGTAAACAAACTTTTCAAACGTCAGCCTGGCTGACATTTGAAAGTTTGACGGCATAGATGGAAGCGAAAAGTTCGCTTCCATCTATGCCTCCTTGTTCTTGTATCTCCACCTTTCAGTCTGCCTGTTTGTACAATCAAGCCATCTATGTATATGTATTTTTTTTTTTTTTTGGTCATGTTGTCCATGGTTCTTCTAAGATTCTCATTTGAGTTATTTTAGGCTCGTCCTCATACGTCAGTTCTATCAGCTTGGGACCAGTCTTGTGAATCTCTACTCACTCTAGTTTCTTTACACGCTTGATCAGCTGTGACAGGTCTGACAGTGTGTGTGTGTGTTTGTGTGTACTCACCTAATTGTACTCACCTAATTGTGGTTGCAGGGGTCGAGACTCAGCTCCTGGCCCCGCCTCTTCACTGATCGCTACTGGATCCTCTCTCTCTCTGCTTCCTGAGCTTTGTCATACCTCTTCTTAAAACTATGTATGGTTCCTGTCTCCACTACTTCACTTGCTAGGCTATTCCACTTGCTGACAACTCTATGACTGAAGAAATACTTCCTAACGTCCCTGTGACTCGTCTGAGTCTTCAGCTTCCAGTTGTGACCCCTTGTCCCTGTGTCCCCTCTCTGGAACATCCTATCTCTGTCCACCTTGTCTATTCCCCGCAGTATCTTGTATGTCGTTATCATGTCTCCCCTGACCCTTCTGTCCTCCAGTGTCGTCAGTCCGATTTCCCTTAACCTTTC